AAAGGACAGCATCAAGGACGCAATCATCCTCTTCGCTTGCCAGGATTGGAGTTCGACCCCCTCACCAAACACGCAACGTGCCCGTGGAAGGACGACAGGCTGGTCTTGTCAGCGTACACTCCTCTTCGAACAAACCGACTGGAACTTTCGGACATCGATCACCTTGCGAGTGTTGGGTTTAATTTGTAATTAGTTTTCCTTTCTTTTGTAATTAGATACCCCTATTTTCATTTGGTTCTTGCAACAGCGCATCAACCCACTTGCGACAGCCGACTGCGATGAACCTCGGCAAAACGTTGCAGCCGCGTGTGTCATCCTCAATCGACTATCCCACTAACCAGCTCAAGCCGGTAGAGCGCTCCCAGTTCTCCCAGTTCCCCCACAGCGCCTCCCCATGGACTTATACAGATGGATGGAGCAGCGAGCTTCCCGTCGCCGACGACTCAATCCGCGTGAGGACCTGCCCGAAACTTTGCAGCTACACCATCTCCCTTTGAAGGATGTTCTACAGATGGGGCAACAAGTGCATGTGTGGTCGTGCCGGCTCAGGAGTCCAAACCAATGTCACCGGCAGGACGTCACGAATGACGAATACAATCACTCCATCAGAGTCAAATCGATGGGCCTCGCTGACGCACACAGCCTGGCATGTGATATGTCCATACAACGCAACGTGGACGCCGCACCTGAAATCATCGCCTACACCCTCCTGGAACTGACATATGACCTCCGCATGCTCGTGCACATCTCCCAGACCAGCAAGACTATGTGGCTCCGTTGCAGCCAAGTTCTCAGGTCAACTAGCAAGAGTGCAAGATCCACACGAATGCCCCGTGGCACAAGCGCGCAGGTCGCGCCGTGGACGGCAACGCCGCGGAAACACCCATCGACATCAAGATGTACCTGTTCAACAAGCGTATGCACACGTGGTACCACCATGAGCTCACGTACCAGCAATACATGGACCTCCAGGTACGCGAACTCCTACAAGTGCCATAGACACTCGGATACTTGAAAACAAGATGCGTGCATTCCGAGCTTGAGTCACTGTAAGCATTTCATGTTTGTGTTCTTGTTTTTCACCATAGCCATACGCTAAGCGTAGCAGTGCCAGAGTCGCCGAAGACCATGGATGCAGTGTTACCCACAATCCCGCCATCTTCCTCTAGCTCGTATGACTACTCCGACGAGGGCGACCACGATGCTGCAGAACGGGTGTTGACCAATGCCGTCCTGTTAAAAGCCATCCTCAAATTCCACACGGAACTCCGAGTCAGGATGGTGGCAGTTCACGTGGAGCACACTCCACAGGCAAGACACAACAATCAAGCAGTGCAGGGAGCTATGGAAGCTCTCGTGCAGCATCACCCACAGGCACACCACACGACAGTGATCCGCGACTACAGACCCCAACACAC